GTGGGAGGTTGCGTACACATGCAATGCAGTATGGGATTGCCTACTGGGTGATCAGCCAGGAGTGCTGGTAGCTTGTGCTGGAGCGGCTTGCACAGCATGCGATTCCCACTGGTGTGGCTTGCAGGGCATGCAACCAGTCACTTAGAAGCTGGCCACCCCTGTTCTATGCCCTAACCTTTTTCAGAGGGGAAAGAAGAATAGACTTTAAAAAACAGAAATATACAAAGGAAGATAGTTTGAGAACTGTTTAGAAAACTGAGTACTGAGAGAGCAATAAGGTTCCCCTGAGCTAATCTGGCATAGAGTTAATAAACTAATACTTGAAATAAAAGCTAGATGTCATAACAACATTATGAATTTAAGCATGTCTCTAAGCGTGAGGCTACAGTACTGGAGTCATCAAAAGTTAAAAGCAGTTACTGCATATCTGTATATGGAGATCTAAAGTAACTTGAACTGGCAGTGACAATGTTCAGATTATATTCTGCCTAGAACTCTGAATTTGTAAGCACATGGCTCTTAACTTGACTTGCTACAGAGATTGCAAACACCCAGTATTTATATCTTGGGTACACGCTAATATAACAATGCAATAAATCAGGGATAGAAATTGAATAAATAATTGGGAATCAATTTTATTTCACTATCCTCTGGGAGTAGTTGTTCTGGAGTTCCTGGATATAAATATCAATCTCTTCCAAAAAGAAAATAATTGAGTTTCCTGGCAGACCTTAAGGGGATATTTATATCTGGTCACACATCAAAAAACAAGGAATACACAATGTTTTAACAACTAGAACTGTAAATACAAAGTTTCCTTGATTTTTTTCAGCTATTGTGCTAAATCCTAGTTCTATTGAGATGGACTGCCCGAGACCAGGGACTGCCCATTGGGACTAATCCAACCTCTCCTAAAGTCAATGGAAACCCGTAATGACTTAAAAGAGAATTGTTTTGGGAGATTACTGCTTGAGAACAATTTTTCACTAACCACTGCAAATTTATAGCCTTTATACTGTACCTTGGCTTCACTTTCATTAGACAGAATTTCCAGAGCTTCAAGATGGGACAAACCCTGGAATTCATCAAAAAGCAACCCGTAATGTGCTGTCCTTTCGACTGTGACTTGCTGGGCCAATCTCTGTTTCTCTTTCTCTTTAGCTTCTCGCAACAACTGTAAAAATATATATCATTCTGGTTAGTGTATTGGTGACACTGTGGAATTGACAGTTTTTATTACTCTCAGCCTCATCTTTTTTAGGTAGTAGTAATAAAATTTGGGACTATGACTAAAATTTCAGCACTGCAGGTATGTTAATCTGAAATGCCCGTAACTTTTTTGATAAACCTCTCTAATAAAATATTTAAGTAGTGCTCTACGTTTAGTTTTCCTTTTGGTGTTATTAACTATCCTTAAAAAAGGCAAATAATGTTGTTTATATCCTCAAAGGCAATATCTGCTACAGGTAATACCTCATAAATTTGGCCACCATTTAAAATGGAAGAAAAATAAAAAGGTCTTTATTCCAGAGACTGCCTAACTCTCTTATAGCACCTATAACAGAGCACAAACTCTGCAGAATGTTGCTAATGAGGCCCCTACCCATAAGGGGTATTTCCATGTATAGTGAAAGCTGCCTTAAGAAACCACTGGACATGCAAAAATCATTAGCTTAATGAGCATAGGTCTTATAATAGAGGTGGTTCAGACTTGTGCTCCATACTTTTGAGGATGTTTTGGAGTGATCCTTTAGTACTTATATATGCTATTTTTATGGGGATTTTATATTTTGCACTGCTGTGGCCTCAGTGTTTGAAAATGTGAGTCTTATAATTTGGAGACAGTCACCCACAGTTTAAATTTTGAGGTACATCACATTTTGAATCTACACTACTTGAGAGAATCCTTTTCATTACAAGAGTTGTAGTATTCTTACATCATGAACTGCCTGGGAATGTTGTAAGTGAAATACCTTACATAAAGCTTAAGCTGATCCTGCAATCAGATGTACATGCCAGTTACATCAATGGCAGTACTGAGGCTGTAGCATTTTATATCTCTATTTCTACTTTATTGGTAATGGCTATGTGTGCATTTGCTGTCATAATATAAACATAAAGGGTACAATTAGAGAATGTTCTTAACATGAATTACTTTGCTTTTAACCTCCAATCCATTTCTGCTTACAGTGGTAGATGTTGAAAATGAAATTTTAAGAGAAAAACATCTCACTGCAACATTATATTCTACAAGCAGAAAGAAGTTTAATGCCTACTGCTGTTAGATCTCATTTAATTTTACTAAAAGTAGTTTTAATACTATCTAAGTCCATCTGTGTTTATTTACAGCCTCTCTGCATCCCCTCTATGCTGTATAATGATGTAATAGTATTGGAGTCATCAAAAGTTACAAGTAGTTACTGCATATCTGTATGTGGAGATCTAAAGTAACTTGAACCGGCATTGACAATGTTCAGATTAACTTGTAAACACATGACTCATGACTTGACTTCTATGTAAGATTAGTGTGTGCTGCTGAGGATACTGAGAAAAATAAATAATATTTTTTCACTGTTTTAATTTTTCCCAATAAAATTTACGCTTTATTCCATTATCACTCATTGTGACTGATGTCATATACAGTAAAATCCCTGTTAGCTGGGATTTGAGTGACCAGAACACTCTATTAACTGGAATTTCTGGCTGGCCAACTAGACACAGGCAGTGGGGAAGCTCGCACACAGTGGCCACCACTGCCACCCACCACCCTGTGCCGCAGCTGCTCCGTGTGCAGCCACTCCTACCTCTCCTTGCTGTGCTTGTGGCCACCACACTGCAAATTATAGGGGACTGCGGTCACATTTGAGGACAGGCTGGGGATACAGGCTGACCTGGACAGGCTT